CAGGGTGGTCAGTACGATATGTCAGGTATTGTGGTATATTGAAGTGCTGTTTAGTGGTTAGTCGAGTTTCAGTAATTAGTGCCACATCAATGTTCTTGTCAAGTAGTAAAGTAGATAGTTCGTCTGTATGATTTCTAACACCATTCGCATTCCAAAGGAGAATGGATATGGGTTTAGGGATGTGAGTCATTTAAGGATTTTTCAAAGGAGGGATGAGGTGAGATACGAGATTCGTGAGGAGTGATATGAGTGGAGTAACAAGGGATTTGAAATCGGTGAGGAAAGATGCTAACAAACTTGTGAGATCTGTTGCATTTGAAGGAGGAGGAATATGAGGAATTTGTTGTTGGTGGTTAGGTATATTAGGATGAAGAGGATTTTGAGGTTGGGTTTGAGGTTGTTGTTGTGGCAGGGCTTGACATTTATCGGTTAAAGTCTTACCTCTAAGTAGTTGGGAGAATGATACATCATTGTTTACAATTCTGGAAGGCTCTCTCTCTCTTCTTGTTCTTAGTGCTTCATCTTGAATCCGGTTTTTCTGGTGTCTGGTTTTGAGATTCTTGTAAATTTGGCAGCCTTTGTAGTTGGCCGGGTGTCCCTCCAAGCATAGGGCACATACTGCTGGATCTTGTATAGGTTTGGTGCACTCTACAGATTTGTGCTGTTCACCGCACTTCACGCAACGCGGCAGATGGTGGCAATATGTCTTCGTGTGGCCATAGGTCTGACAATTATGGCACTGCACGATGTCTCTCTTGGGATATGGCTTCTCAACTTTCACCATTGTGTAGTATATTCTTGTGATATCATATATTTTTTCGATACCTGGTGATGGCTCCAAGTCCACGAAAAACAATGGTAGTGGGATCCTATTTCGTAATCCTGGCTGCTCCCTGTCCTCCTTCAAAACGTTTGTTACCTGGCGTACATTGAAACCAAGCGTCGTTAGTTCTTCTTTAATAACTTCAGTGGGGGTTGAGGAATGTAAATTTCTTATCACTACTCGTAAAGCTCTTTCCTGCCTCAGCTGGTAAGTGTGAAAATTCGCATTTGTTTCTGATAAGTACTTCACTATTTTTCGGTAGGCTTCTGCAGAATCAGGTGTTATTTTGGTGTCATTGGTCCTGTTAAGGCATGAATAACTGCCAGAGCAGATTTTATTTAGTTGGGTGCAGAACATCTGGAAATTTTTTATATTTTTCACAAATATCGGAGGAGGCTTTGGTTCTCTGGGTATTGCTGCAGACTCCATTACTTCTCTGTCATTTTGAAGCACTTGGTAGGGGTTTGGAGTAAAGAAAGGTGATTCTTCAATCGTTTCTTGCGCAGACGTACCTGGTTGGGGCTGAGGTTCTGGTTCTGAAGTGTTCATTTTGGTCACTGGAGGTATTTCTCGTAGGCAGCGACGAGTCCTTTGTTTGGCTGGTGAGCTAACTCCGTCTGACCGAGACCTCTTGGGCACCTTACTGGCCATCACTTGCTGATCATACCGCATATCATAAGAGAAAAATAAATAAATAAATAAATAAAAAAAAAAAAAAAAAATTTTTTTTTTTTTTCTTAAAATAACAAAAAAAAAAGATGTCAACAGTAAATATCAACTGCTCTGATATACACTTTAACTGTATCACGTGAATAATCAGAGAGATTCCGCTATAAAATTGGTAAAAACTGAGAGAGGAGTTGAGGAGACAACCTTCTCATCAGCTGATCCACTGCCTTGTCCCAGAGACTATTAAAGGATGAGTCTGACTTATGTAAGGACATATCTAACGTACACTTAGTATTTATAATAATGCACTATGTCATCTTCAAAGCCTAAAATAAATCTTAAGATCTCTCATCCAGCTCCTTTTCACTCGGCTCCTGATGGACAGATCATCCGGGGCCATGCCGGTTGTTGTGTCTGTGTTGTTTAATATGGAAGCGAAAGTAAAGCATCCGTATGGTCAATAGTTGGTTGTCATAGGTCAGTACACATAGTCTTGTTATTTATGTACCAGAATGACACAGGTAGTTTTAGGAATGAACAAGCACAATATTTGACTGATGAAAACAACTGCTAAACAGGAATTTATTAACAATATTTTCCGTTTACTTGTTGTATTACACTTGATTTGCGTTGTTTCTACCCATAGGGGTCAATGCCACCCTTCATCGTAATACTATAGAGGCTGTGGTTTGTGTTTCCTGGAGCACCGCCTGACATCGTGTCCCTGTCAACGGCAGAGCTAAGGTTGCCACACAATCCTCCCCCATCCGGAGGAGGACGAACAGGCGACCGGAGACAAGGTTATCGATGGACCTGCGCTGTGGGCTCAATCAGCAGGCGCACTAATATGATCAAGAAGGCAGCTGCAGGACCAGGCACAATGGGTCGTGCGCCGGACCTGCGCCAATATGGTGGCGGCACGTGGGCCCCGTGGGAACTCGCTCTTCCATAGTGCCCGTGGGACCGCCCCCGTAATCCTTTTGTTTAAGGGACCGTCATGTGTATGCTTAGCTGGAACTAACTCATGGCTAATGCAGTGCAACAACAGGGCTTTGTGCAAGAATGGGACGGTATTTACTGGTGGGCAGGTCCTGGGAATCTAGATTTGTCAAGAACCATTGAAGAATTTAATGCTCGGATAGATTTAATACTTCATGCCATTATTTCATTCATTTAATTTATTTACTTATTTAACTTACAATTAAAATAATTCATTCGCAAAAAGTAACGCGGTTGAGAGAGCAGTACAGGTATCTGCTTTTCCATCCATAGTTGGAGGGCCAAAATTATTAGTGCTTCGACTATTGGAGCCTGTGGCAAAAATTGAGTGCTCCATGCGCAACAGCTGCTGCACAATAAATGAAAAACGTGTTTTTCTGTAGACTGTAGCGCGAAAACGGCTTTAACAATTTTCATGAAACTTTCATATAATGTTCTAATAATTGTCCTTTCAATTTTCGTATATATAGACTAAATTCTTGAGAAAATTCAGGAAAAAAGAAAAATGTTTTAGGGCCTAACTCGCTAAGTATATATTATACGGTAAAATTCATAATAAAACATTTAAAAGATGATTAACTTACCAACAAAACAAAAAAAAATCATCGGAATTGAAGAGTTGTTAGCGATGATACAGCTTATTCCATTTTCTACACATGTTTTAATTTATTACTTTACTCACGTTTAGTCTGTTTTTTTTTTGCAGGAAAAATAGAAAAATGTTTTGGGGCCTAACTCGCTAAATATATGTTACATAGTAAAATTTATAATAAAACTTTTGATAATAAAATAAATAATAATTAATAATGAAAAATTAAAAAAAGGTGATTAAATTACCAACAAAGCAAAACAAAAATAATCGGAATCGAACCAGTATTAGCGATGATACAGCTTATTCTATCTTCTACACCTGTTTTAATTTATTACTTTCCTACCTCGAAAAAATACCCTTTAGTCTGCTTTTTTGAAAGATGATGCAATCTCAAAAAAAAACTATCTAAAAATCGCTTACTTCGGACAAATATTAACGAAGATACAGCTATTAAATTTCCAATGTAAGATTACGGGTACATATCCTGGTGTCAGAAAGGGGTGAATGAGATAAAAAATATAACTAAGTGAAAGTAAGAAAACCTGTTGCCGCATCACACAACCTTCATTTATTTCCGCTACTTTTAAAAGAAATTATTGTTTGACAAAATTAGGCTATGGCAAAAAGTTTTTGATCAGCAATATTAGAGGGTATTGAAATTTTTACTCTGATCTCCCATGAGCTGGTTTACATTGCTTTAGTGTATCAAATAAATCGTACTCAAATCTTTTCTTTGATCAATTTTCAGGAAAATAAATCTAATTCATTTTTTTTTTTTTGTTTCTTGATGGACATATGTAAAGATACAAAACTTTTCTGAAATAGGTAGGAAAATCGTGTGAGTGGACACGCCAGATTTTTTTTTCTTGTATATATAGTTTTAATGTGATCTTAAACCCCTATAACGATTGCCTAACCGAAAAGACTGTTATATTATTCAATAAATAAATAAAAAAATAATATCTTTAGTATTGAGCTTTTAACTCATGAAGAGCTTTTTTTTTTTTTTTTTTATTGAAATTTACAACTGTAAACAAATATACAACCAGTAAATTTACTGTAGGAATATGTTACATGAAGATACTTGTGATGAAGCTACCCATTGGTAACACTGCAAAGATAAATTAATTTAGGAGGTCTCTTGGCCATCTTCTTTTCAAACGCCTCGGAGGGTTGTCAGGAATTGTGTTGGATGAAAGGTTACAAACTAGAAAATTGGGGTGACCAAAGAGTTTGGAACGAAAAGAGGTATATCTAGTTTGGGTCAAGTCTTCCACAAGAGGAATATTAAGATCTTTATGGATAATTTTATTTGATACATAATAAGGAGCATTTAGGATTTTGGATTGTAAGAATTGGATACGGGAAGAATTTGATGTTCTTATAGAGCCCGAAAGCTCAATACCGTGTGTCCAAATGGGCCTGATGACGGTAGCGTAAATGAGTTTTTTGTAGAATATTGGAAGTTTAGAGCGTTTGGCAAGTAAGTGTTGTAGTAGTCGGAATCTGTTGGCAGTTTCTTGTCTTTTAAGTCTAGTTTGAGGATTCCAGGTAAGGCGTTTGTCAAGAAGGAGTATTAGGCAACGGATCTGTTCTACAGGGAGCAGTAGAATGATGAACTGTAGAACTGTATAATTAACTATTTATGGTTTTTAATAACTTTAAGAGGTTTACAATACTTAGCATTAGTTGCATGAACTTAGCATTAGTTGCATTAGTTAGCCCTAAAGTATAGAATACTCTTAAAGTATAGATAAATGATTATTGCTAACTAATTTTGCACTAGATGATCGGATATTGTTGTTCCCAATTGAGTATTTTTTCTTTCCTAATCTACTCCAAATGATGAAATCCATTTCAAGCTTAACTGCTTCTGCGAAATTATTTTTTTTTCATTAAATTATAAATATTTCTTCATTACTTCAAAATTGCAAGGGCACCTCGCTCCGGACTGAGCACAGATCCATCTGATTTGCCTGCGATACCCCGGCTATGACAAAGACCCAGAAGGTGGGTCGGGGAAGGAATACCGCCCTGTGGAGCAGTGACACCTGTCAGCGAGGCTACCGTGTGGGTAGGTTGGTAGCCGATCCAGCTGATAGCGAACCAGAGCGTACGTCATTTCCACACCGGCACATATCCTATTCCGGCGCCTCCCCGGAGTTCGCCCATTTGTAAAAATCAGCCTACATGCCGGTATCTTCGGCATCCATCGTCATCAGATATGAAAACGTTGAAATATTTTTCAAATTTATTATCCTTGAATTAAACAGACGTGGTGTATCGTTATTATTGATGGTTTCACACCAAAATATCCTTCATTATTTTCACATTTATATTGCAAAACATTTCGCAATATTTTTATCGTAACATTCAATCGTGTCAGAGGGTTAAATATACCAAGACGGATTGCTCGGAAGAAGGTCATTTTCTCTAGTGTTTAAATTTTGATCGATGAGCTGTAAGATACCTTTGAGCTGTAAGCTAAATTTAGAGTTCTTAGTATTTTTTAAAAACTTAATACATTAAATAATCGAACATTACTGTTAAAAGTATGGCAGAATTTCAAACCTAATTTGCATAAAAATAGAAAGAAAGAAAGATTCAAAATAGAGCAGTATAAACTCGAAGTAGCTTTTACCAAGTTTTTTAAAATTTATTTATTCAGAAATATAACAATCTGTCACACGAGCAATAGCGAAATATTAACACATTCACACCATATATACAGAGATCATACAACAAACAAAAGCAAAACAACAACTCAATAATAATCAAAACGTATATACAATAAAAAATAAAGTAACTTAAAGATAAGTAAATTGTACCTTATTATAAACAGTCATACCTATATAAAATAAACACAATCAAGCAGGAGACCTCAAGCCAGGCTTGTCCCTCCAACTATAAAAGGATAAGTAGAACTCCAAAAGATCCCTGAGCTACTCCCTCAACTGCGGTGCTAAAGCTAGTGGAGATTGAGCGAGAGCGCTTTATCTACATATACTCATGTCTTGAGTGGAGAATTTGGCCATTGGCAGAACTCCACATATATACTACAAACGGTCTCTGGGCCACTGCCGTTTCAACCTTCGAGGGGAATTATAAATATGGGTTTTGCCACTAAAGTAAAACCAAGTAAATTGCCAAATAAAATACCTGAATTATTCATTATTTACTGATCATGTAAATGATGATCTAAACCTGTGCTACTATAAGCCATAAAAGATCTTGGATTCTTGCAATCTTGTTACATTCTTACCTATACTGGGTAAGGAAAATATTGCGATTGGGTCAAATTTCCGATAAGCTGTTTTCAACGGATCTATACGTTTCAGAGCTCTGTGAGTCCGAACAACACATTTTTAGCCACGTGTTCTGATAATTGTATTTTCAATTTTCGTATATAGAGTAAATTCACAAGAAAATTAAAAAACAAAAAAATGTTTTGGGCCTACCTCGTTAAGTATATACTCTATGGTAAAATTTATAATAAAACTTTGGAAAGGTAATTAAATTACTAACAAAACAAAAAAAAAAAAAAAAATCACCGCAATCGAAGCAGTATTAGCGATGTTACAGCTCATTCTATTTTTTACACATGTTTTAATTTATTACTTTCCTACCTAGAAAAACGACATTCAGCCTGTTTTTTTTTAAAGGTGATTCAATTCCCTACAAAACTATATAAAAATCGCTCATTTTGGACAAATATTAACGTTACAGCTATTCAATTTCCAATGTAAGATCGGGTTCATATCCTGGTGTCAGAAAGGGGTGAATGAGAGAAAAAAGATGACTAAGTGAAAGCAAGAAAATCTGTTGCCCGCATCACACAAGCTTCACTATTTCCGCTACATTCAACAGAAATTATTGTTTGACAAAATTATGCTATGGCAAAAAGTTTTTGATCAGCAATGTTAGAGGATATTGAAATGTTCACACTGATCTCCCATAAGCCGGCTTACATTGCCTTAGTGTATAAAATAAATCGTACTCAAATCTTTTCTTTGATTATTATTCAGGAAAATAAAACTGATAGAATTTTTTTTTTTTGTTTCTGGATATAAAATATGTACAAATATAAAAGCTTTTCTGAAATAGGTAGGAAAGTCGTCTGAGTGGACACACCAGATTTTGTTTATGCAACCTTCCATTACCTGCAGTGTGTATTCGAATGGCTTGGTGAGACGTCGCTTGTAAATGTATTGTTTTTTTTTCCTTTATTTCTTTATTTATTTTTTCGTTCTTTCTATATATATGTGTTCTTGTTTGTTTTTTTTTCTGTCCTGATGATACCTATATTGGCGAAACGCTGACAGGTTAACACAGGTTAGAGATTTAAGGCTTCATAGTATGGAGTTTCAAACTTATTATATGCTAATATGCTAAATTCATGTATGTCTCTTTTTGAGCTATATGTTCATTTATTGTAATTATATCATTTTTTTTTTTAAATCATATATCTATTTACAACTGTAAACAGGCTTTACAATAATAGACAATCAGCGGATAGTTGATGGAAATAAAATATATCCTATATTGCACAGTACATATTCTACGAAACATGTTTATTATAATTGATATTCAACTGAGGTTCCTTGATTATCCGAAGCTTAAGAGCTACAACAGCTGGGGCCCGTACGTGCCGTTTGTTAGCGGTCCTATTAGGGCCGCACTAGCAGATGCTTGCACCTCTCTCTCTATATTTGTGTTTTACACCGACTGTTTGCTATAACGTTACATCTGTAAGTGGGCCTTTTTATTGTATTGTCAATATGTCGCTGTTATTGCCGCCCTATTGTGGGGTCACAGCCGGTCTGTCTTGTAATTGAACCGTCACAGTTTAGACAAATGTCATTGCTATATACGGTCCTATGGGGTTGGAGCAGTTGTGCAATGTTTCTTGCGGACGTCGTGTAAGGTGCTGGAGTTTCACGTATGTAAATATATATACTTATAAGTACTGTGGTAAATAAATACGTAAGCATATTATAAAGAATGTTTAACTAACAGAAATATCGTCACTACAATGACGTTTATCTATATTACTTACAATCTATCCACGTATCTATTCACATTCATATGGAACAGAATCCTGATAATCATTTTTTTTTTTTTAAACTTTTATTATGATATTTACAACTGTATTAGTATCAATACATCAAGTAAATTTGTACAGAGAAATATTATTACATGAAACACGCTTGTTGAGAAACTACCCACTGGTAGCACTCTAATAATTTGTCTACATGAGAAGATCACGAGGCCATTTTCTTTTCAGACGCCTCGGAGGGTTATCAGGAATCGAAGAGGAAGCAAGGTTAGAAACAAGAGGATTTGGATGGTTATGAAGTTTATTATGGAAGGATAGGTATCTGGATTTGGCCAAATCGGAAACATATGGAACATTGAGGTCTTTATGGATTATTTTATTAGTGACAAAGTAAGGAGCATTGAGGATTTTACGAAGGATTTTGGATTGTAAGGATTGGATGCGAGAGGAATTCGATGGTTTAGTGAAGCCCCATAGCTCAACTCCGTAAGTCCAAATAGGCCTTATTATAGTCAAGTATATGAGTCTTTTGTAATTAAGGGGAAGTTTAGAGCGTTTGTCTAGTAAGTGTTGGAGTAGTCGGAAACGTCGAGCGGTTTCTTGTCGTTTCAGTCTGGTATGAGGATTCCAAGTTAGACGTTTGTCCAAATGAAGTCCAAGGTATCGGATTTGTTCAACAGGGATAAGTGGGGTATTATTGAAGGATACTGTGGGACATGAGGTCATAGGTTTACGTCGAAGGGTAAAGGTGATTTGATGGGATTTATTAGAATTTATTTTAATCCTCCAGTTTTGACACCATTCTTCAAGGCTTTTGATGTGTGATTGAAGAGTTTGGGATGCAATGGTTGGGTCATTATTAACGGATAGGACACATGTATCATCGGCATACGTGGTAATAACAGTGTTAAGATGGGTTGGGATGTCAGCTGTATAAACTGTGTAAAGGATAGGACCAAGGATACTACCTTGAGGAACTCCGGCAGATTGAGAAAAGAGGGATGAATAGGTATTATTGTGATTTACTTTGAAGTGCCTATCAATAAGATAGGAACTGATGATAAGAAAATATGTAGGGGGGAGGAATTTACGGAGTTTGTAAAGCAATCCCGGATGCCAGACTCGATCAAACGCCTGTTCAACGTCGAGAAAAACTCCAGTGCAATACATTCCGCGCTCCAATGCAGAGGAGACTACGTCTACCACACGATGACATTGCTGGATAGTGGAATGGGATGTGCGGAATCCAAATTGGTGATCAGGGATTATGTGGTTAGAATCTAGGATGGGATACAGGCGTTTTAAGATGAGCTTCTCCAGGATTTTGCCCATGATGGGTAAAAGAGAGATAGGACGGTAAGAGGATGGGTATTCTGGTGGCTTTTTGGGTTTATGTATCATTTTGACTACAGATAGTTTCCAAGGGTCAGGAAAATATGTGGAACGGAGTACGGCGTTATAAATGTAAGTAAGGAATAGAATGGCTTTTCGAGGAAGTAGCTTAAGAATGTGGGAAGTGATTAGGTCGTGGCCAGGAGCTTTGCGGGAGGGTAATCTTTGAATAATATTGGATATTTCTGAAGGATGAAATGCTTTAGGAGGAGGAGTCATTTGAAGTGGGATATCCAGTTCTGTTTCAATACATTCAAGCTGATTTGGATTAAGGATATCAGGATGTGGATTAAAAGTTTTGAAGAGGTGATGAGCAAAAATTTGGGATTTTTCTTCATCAGATTTGGACCAAGTTTGATCTTCAGTAAGATAATAATAATAATAATAATAAATTTATTTATTGAGCAATTTTACAAATGCCTTTTGGCATATTTTGTAAATGTGATGTTCGTTAGCGAACCTCCTCTCCGGGATTAGCGTGAATACGTGATTGGAGAAGCCTCCCAGTGAAGGCACTCCTAACGTGACTCCTGACGCAGCAGATCTCTGCTCCAGAGGCGCTTGAGTCTCCTTGGTGGATTCTGTGGTAGTGTGTCTGTTAGCAATGTTTGTACAAGTGGATTAGGATGTCCAGCTAAGGAGTCATGGAAACTTTTATAATATTTTTTAATTACATCAGTCACTTGTGATATTTGTAGGTCTTTATGAAGTGATTTATTGGTTATGTAGAAGGGACAATGAGTGATATACCGGAGAAATTTAGATTGGAAAATTTGAATAGTCTGTAAGTGTGTTTTTTTGCATGAACCCCACACCTGAGAGGCATACGTCCATATTGGTCTGAGTAGCATGTTGTATATAGTAATTTTGTTAGAAAGTGATAGTTTGTTTTTATGGTGTAGCATTCGTCTTAGTAGTGATAACCGATGGTTCAATCTCTTTTTTAATGTAGTCACGTGTGATTTCCAGGTCAGTCGTCTGTCCATTGTGAGTCCTAGATATTTTGTCTCAGTATGATTTGGCAAAGGGGTGTTGTAAAGTGTCAGTGGAGGGCAATCCGAACGTTTAAGTGTAAATGTAACCTGGTTTGATTTTTGAATGTTAATTTTTATGCGCCATTTATCAAGCCAGTCTTGTAGAAGATTTAAATGAATCTGTGCTTTCTGAGATGCTGTGATCGGATTAGAGTCAGTCGAGAGTATGACAGTGTCGTCTGCGTAAGTTGCGAGTAATGTGTCTGGTGTCTGTGGAATATCAGAAGAGTAAATTGAGTACAGAACCGGACCTAAAATACTGCCCTGCGGTACTCCCGCGCCGATTCGGCAATAGTCGGAGTATTTACCATCCTGGCTAACAATAAAAAATCTATCCTCAAGATACGATCTGATTATTAAATAATATGTATGCGGAAAGATTGGTTTAATTTTACAAAGTAGACCATCATGCCACACTTTATCAAAGGCCTGTGAGACGTCTAAGAAAGCTGTTGTGCAAAATTCCTTCTTTTCCAATGCCACAGCAATTGTATCAATCACTCTATGACATTGTTGTATAGTAGAGTGTGCAGGTCTAAATCCAAATTGGTGATTAGGAATAACATTGTTTGCTTCTAAAAATGGATAGAGCCGTTTTAATAATAATTTTTCAAATATTTTGGAAAATAAGGGTAAAAGACTGATAGGCCTATAGGACGTGACTTGGTCTAAAGGTTTGCTTGGTTTCGGTATCATTTTTATGATTGAAAATTTCCATACTAGAGGAAAGTAAGTAAGTCGAAGGATAGAATTGTAAATAGCTGTCAGGAAGATTAATGCTTTTTTGGGTAGAAGTCGTACAATTTTAGGTGTGATTAGGTCAAAGCCAGGAGATTTTCTGCGAGGTAATTTTTTAATACAAAATTCTATGTCCGAAGGAGTTATAGGGGAAGGAGGTAGAGAAAAGGGTAGATGAGAAATTAGGATTTGTTGGACGTCTGAGCAGTGCTGTTGGTCAGGCAACTCTTCATGTGGATGAAATACGTCTGTAAGATGAGTAGCAAATAAGTCTGCTTTCTCTTTATCGCTTCTAGCCCATGAGTTGTCTGGTTTACGGAGAGGAGTCTTTGTTTGGTGGTACCCTAGTATCTTTCGGGTTTGTTGCCAGAGAGTATTGTTACTTGTCTGTAAGGTGGTCAGATGTTTTTTGTAAGTTTCCTGTTTGTATTGTTGTATAAGTTTTCTAAGTTTGTTAGAAAGTGCGTTTAGTATCTGTTTGTCACTGGGATAGCGAGATCTTTTCCATTGGTTGAGAGCACGTCGTTTTTCAATTAGAAGTGATCGTATTTCCGGGGGTAAGTACTGTTTGTCGCGGTTGGTCTCGTACTTGTGTGCTGATTGCCAAGCGGCAGTTTGTACAGTCTTAGTAAGCGTCTCTACTGCATTGTCAATATCATTTTCCGTCTTTAATCTTGTGTTTAGATCAATAGTCTTATTAATAATGGAATGAAATTTATCAATTAATATTGGTCCAGGAGTTAGTGTAGGTGTGTGGTTGATAGTAAACATGTGTCTAGAGAGAGATAAAATAACCGCTGAATGGTCTGATGATAAGTCGTTACTAATAGAGATATGATGGTGTAGTGTGTGTAGGCTAGAAGTTATAAAGAAATCAAGTAATTCTGGTTGACGGTTTATGTCTGTCGGCCAGTAAGTCGGTTCAGGTGGTAGTATGCAGTTATAGTCCAGTTCTATACATGTATTAAAAAGAGAGTTTCCTCTAGAATTATTGGTCCTATTGCCGAAACGGGCATGCTTGGCGTTAAAATCGCCTCCACATAAGAATTTAGGTCCTAAGCTGCCAAGTATGTCTGTAAACGTTTCTTGTGAAACTCTTTGTCTCGGAGGACAATATGCACTGGCAATAGAAATTTTGGTGTGATCGATTTCAACCGAAATAGATGATAATTGAATTTCTGGTAAGGCAGTCATTTGAAGAGGATAGTGGTATAATGTTCGTTTTACGACTATTGCCGAGCCACCACGGGCAGTACCGCTGGGATGGTCAGCGCGGTACAATACATACCCTTGTATGTAAAATGTTGTAGTTTGAGTAAAATGAGTTTCTGTTAGTAATGCAATGTCAATGTCATTTTCATGTAAATAAATGTCAAGTTCATTCCTTCGGTGTAGGGCTCCATTTGAATTCCAAAGAAGGATTTTTAGAGAGTGTTGTGAGATAGAATTAGGGACTAACATGAGGAATAAATTTGGTAATTAGCGTGGTGAGAAGAGTGATGAGCGGAGTTATCATAGATTTAAAATCGTTTAAGAAGGAATTAAAATATAATGAGAGATCTGGAGTATTAGGTTGTGTATTAGATGTTGTGTGATGAGGTCTTGAGTATGAGGTTGACGTGTATTGATACGGTATGTATTGAGGTTGGGTATAATGAGGTACTGAACGGTCAGGGATTATACTCGTTTGGTTTATTGAGTGCTGAGGAATTATACTTGTGGTATGAGAAGTAGTGTATTGAGAAGATATATTTGGAGTTCGAGGATCTGTAATTTGAGGAGTCGTATGATGAGGAATGGTATTGTGAGGAGATATATTTGAAGTTTGGGGATTTGTAATTTGAGGAGCTACATGATGAGGAATGATATTGTGAGGGATTACATAACGAGAAGATTCATTTGAAGTTTTGGGATTTGTAATTTGAGTTGTATGATGAGGAGCTATATTGTGAGAGATTGCGTAGTGAGGAGTTACACTCGTTGTTTGAGCAGTTGTGAATTGTGGTGTTGTGTTGTGATATGTAGTTTTAGTACACGTTGCCTGTGCGTAAGTCGTGTTGTGTAGTTTTTGCGAGATAGGGACGGTGTAAGTAAGTCGGTCGTGTTCCGCCTCTGGAGGCAGGTGTTCTGTTACCTCTCTACTCGAAGTGGCCTGGTTCCACACGTTGAGTCTTCTTTTCTGCAGCTCTAGATGCACTATGCATCCCCTATAGTTCGCAGGATGATTGCCACTGCACAACGCACAAACAGGTGGCTCTTCAAGTGGTTTCTGGCACCTATCACTAGGATGATCTTGACCGCACTTCACACATCGTGGTTTATGATGGCAAAATGTTCTGGTGTGCCCGTATTCTTGGCATCTCATACATTGAACAATATTTCTTCTTTTGTAAGGTTCTTCAATCCTAACTCTTGTGTAAGCCAAGTTAGTGATATTAAAAACTTCAGCATTGTTTGGAGCTGGCTCTAAGTCAACAAAGAAGAGTGGGAGTGGTTCTTTTGATCTCGGGTGTAACACATTAGTAATGAGACGGATGTTGAATCCTTTTCTTTCAAGGTCATATCTTATCATTTCGTGTGGTGTTGAATAATGGAGATTTCTAATAAGAAACCTATATGGTTTGTCTTCTTGAGATTGATAAGTGTGAAAGTTGTAATTGTTGGTTTCTAAATATTTAATGCAGATTCTATAGGCTTCACTTGTTTTAATTTTTAATGTAACAATCGATTTGTTAGAGAAACATTCAAAATTATTTTCTCCTAAAAGGCTTACTAAATTCGTGCAGAGAGTTTGGAAGTTTGTTATGCCTTTTATTTTAATTGGAGGTGGTTGATGAGTAACTATTGTTTCGTCAGGTTCGTCTTCCATTTCCGTAGAAAGAGGTTCAAACCTATTACTGACCGGAACGTTAGGGATACTATTTATTGTTGATGGTGTATTTGTTGCATTTGAACTCTGAACAACATTTTCTGGTACTCCAGTGTTGTTAGCATCATGTTCTAGTATAGATTCAATGATATGGGTCGCAGAGTTATTATTTTCAATAATTAAAGTATTCATTTCAGTATTTGTGGAGTTAGGGAGGTTATGTGAATTAACATATGTTTGCTTTTGGTTAGGATTTTTTGATGTTGTTTTTATCACAGAATTGTTTGAACTCGCTCTCTTTTTCTCATTTGTCCCGTCTTTCGATGAAATACTTGAAGTGGATCTTACCTTTCTCTTCAGCAGTTTTGACAAAACGGCCTGATCCGACAGTCCACTCGAGCCAGCTAACTGGCGTGCACTCATAAGTAAAGTGTCTGTTTTCACTGAGACTTTACGACATGGCCGGGGGGTCGGTATTGATTCGGCTGACTGATGCTGGGCTGGAGCAGCGGCACATAGCCCGCGGGCAGGCGTTCAGACAAAGGCAGGCAGACAGGCACAGGCACAAATAAAAAGACGCGACTTAACTCCACAGGAGAGAACGGAGAGCCCTTCAGTAAGAAGTGGATGATTAAAGTCTTTGAATTTCAGGAGCCGTTTAGTCGTCGTCCACAATGATTTGTCGGTAGGTGTAAGTTTTTCAGTAAAATTTAGTAAATTTTGAATTTTATATTTTCTAATTTCTGATTTTAGTTTGTTAGTCAGTTGGGTATAATGAGTTTTATCTGTTGGATATCTAGTTCTATGCCACTTCGATTTTGCTCTGCGTTTTTCCTGTAATAAGATACGAATATGCTGTGGCAAGTTAGTCTTTTGTAAATTGTTAATCTTACTGTTAAAGGTGTTACTGTTTATACTGTCTGTTATTGATGTTGTAAGTTTATCTATGGCACCATTAATGTCTTCTTTTGTCTTGAGCGGAATTTTCAAGTCAAGTTTGTTTTCCAAGTCATCACGAAAGTTGTCCCAGTGTACTCGTCCTGTAATCAATTTAGGAGATGATGGTTTAGGAGCATAGCTTGAATGTAGTGAAAGCAGCACTGGACTATGGTCTGAAGAAAGGGCATCGAGTGATTTGATTATGGTTCGTGAGGAGGAGATCTGGGACGTTAAAAATATATCTAGGATATCGGGACGTTTTTTGAGTGATGTTGGCCAATAAGTAGGACTCATGGGCGAGAGGATTGAATAACTGTTGGAAGATGAGATACGTGAAAGGATGTTACCGCGGGAGTTGGATGTTCGACAACCCCATCGTTGGTGTTTAGCATTGTAGTCTCCTCCAGCAATAAAGCGCGATCCGAGGGATTGAAATAAGGATTCAAGGAGGTTATAGGAGATGGAATTACCAGGAGGACAGTATACAGCTGAGAATGTGAGATGGAAAGGGCGAGTTGAAAGGACTATAGAAGTTGATTGAATGGCATCAGTTGGAGTGGAAGGAATAAGGGAGTGGGATAAAGATTTATGGATAAGGATGCAGGAACCAGCGTGGGAAGTGTTATCTGGGTGGTCAGATCTGTAAGTGATGTAGTCATGTATGTAGAAATGTGTCCGTTGAGTGAAGTGAGTTTCCGTAAGGAGGGCAATGTCAATGAGATTGTCATGGAGAAATAAGTCTAGTTCGTCTCGGTGGTTGAGTAATCCATTAGCGTTCCATAAAAGGATAGCTAGGGGCTTTGTATTCATCGGGGGAAGTTGAACGGGATTTCGGAAAGGAGTCTGGTGAGGAGGGTAATAAGCGGTTTGATAGTCTCTTGAAGATCTATCAGGAATGTTGAAAGGACAGAATTGATGTCGGAAGGTTTTTGGCTGTGAAGTGGATTTAGGTCAGGAGGATGTGATGGGTAATTTGTGCGACTAGGATTGCTGGAAGGGGGATGTGCCCGACGTGGGATGCGAGGAGTTGGATCTATATTCTGTTGGGCTTGTGATGGGATGTTTACATTGGGATTAGGAACGGATGGAACTGGGGGTGGATCCTCTGGCGGGAGTTTGACCCTTAAGGGTAGTTGGTGAAGGGGGATTTGCGGACGAGGAGGTTGAGGCTGAGGTTTAGCAGTTTTAGGCTTGGATTGGGAAGCCTGAGGCGCCTGTCGTCGAGGCTGCTGGTTCTTGATGGTGGTTTGGAGATATAAATTTCTCGAACCCTGTTGAGGATAGTCCGTAGCTGTGGAGATGGATGGTTGAGGCTGGATGACTTGAGAAGGTGACGACGGCAGTGCTGGGAAATTTGTTCTATCATCGATTGCGGGAGCCTCAGTCCCACTTTTATGATCAAGGTTAAGGCTTTTCAAAGCCATATTATGTGATCTCAGCTTCAGAAGATTTTTATAAACTACGCAACCTCTGTAGCTCGCTGGGTGTCCCTCGCCACAAAGTGCACATATAGCAGCCTCTTGCCTTGGTTTCTGGCAAAGATCAGACGGATGTGCCCCAGCACATTTGACGCATCTGGCCTGATGATGGCAGTAGGCTTTTGTGTGTCCCAAATTTTGACAGGTAGTGCAATGCACTACTATAGGTCTTTGTCTGGGCTCTTCAAAACGGACTATTGAATATAAAAGACGTTTTACGTTAAAAATTTCCGGGTTGTTTTTTGCAGGTTCGAGATCTATGAAAAATAGCGGTAGCGGGTATTTTTCCTTAGGATGAAGCACGTTAGCTATGTTCCTTACGCTATGGCCTATTTCTTCCAATCCCATTTTGATTGCGCTTATAGAAGTAGTTGGATGAAGCCCTCTTAATACGACTCTGTATGCTTTTTCCTGTCTCAGTTGGTAACAATGGAAATCGTATTTTCGTGAAGTAAAATGTTCAATTAATATTTTGTAATTTTCTTTAGAGTTGGTATTTATTTTAATATCATTGACTCTGGAAAAACATGTAAAATTTGGCTGCCCAATCAGATCGGCGATTTCTTGTCCGAAGGACATAAAATTTTCAATTTTTGCGACGAAGATGGGTGGCGGTTCAAGATCACAAGTTTCTTTTGGCTCCAGAATCTTGTTTGTAGTATTGTTGGCTGTAACAGAGTTACTGATTGAGGTGTTTGGTGAAATTGATTCTGATTTGATGGCTGAAGTGATTTTGCTACGCGTGTTTGGTGTATTTTTGTTTGTTTCAGATGCCTTTTTTGATTTGGCCGATTTATTTTTTTTCTTATTTGGTGAGTTGCCCGCTGAACCGGGGGCAGAGTTTCGATTGCGCTTTTGAAGAGTCCTTCTTTTTAAATATTGTGAATCGGTCTCACTGACTTCGGAAAATGGTGTCTCTTCCTCCGATTCTTCACCAGACGTATTGTCAGGTTCCATAATGAGAGAAAAAAAAAAAAAAAAATCTGTACCTGTTATAACACTAAAAAAAAAAAAAAAAAAATTACGAAAAAAATTCTTAAAACTAAGCTATTTACATTATTTACAGTTAAAGTAAGAAAAAATCGTAATATACATAATTAAACCAAAGTAAAAGTCTTAGAGTAAAATAAACAAATAAAATAAAGAGAGAAGAAAAAAGAAAAAAAAAAAAAATAGTTTTTAAGTTTGGATACGAAGTCGATATCACTCGAAGGAAGTAGTGTTAGTAAATAGAGCCTTGGCCGTGTATCTTACGTAGATAGGGCAAGACCCGTTAAGGGAATTACCGATCAGCTGTGCTGTCTCTACCGAACTAGTATCAATTAACTATTAAACATATTGTTAATAAATATCTCTCACCTCACTATTTAATGTGAAAATGTTTAAATGTACAAAAGCTCACTGTTCACAAATTATAGCAGCAGTATTTGTAGAATTAGCCAGTTGAGAAGGAGACAAAGACAGAGCGATGCAAGCATTAAACTGTAGTTGCGGCCATTTTCAGATCGACTCCTGATAATCATAAAGTAGATAAAAACTGTATTTATTTAACATATATACACATTTTAAATCTTATAAGTGAAAAATAACTTATATATTACATTCTATTATTTTTATATTTATCTAATCTCAATTTTTATTGATCGATTCATTTAATTTTTCATTATTCTAAATATTTCCTCTTTGTATGATCTCTCTTTTATCTTATTCTAATTTTATATTCACACTCTACATCAATGTATGATCATCCTTTTCCACTTGTAATTTTCTTACATATGTACAATGAAATATAATTATAATTATTAATTTATTCCCTCTCTATACTTCTAAGTTAGTTCTGCAATCTATGTATGTAAATGAAGTTATTTCTATATTTATATTTTTATTTTGTTTTTATTCACATTGTACTCTTATCCACAATTTCTCAATTCTATTTTATATGTATATGTATATATTTATAATTTAATATTTCATAGATATAATATTTTTCCATTATATCCATCCATATCTTTAAATTTTAGATACTGTAATTTTCTAGGTTTTTCCCCATTACCCAAACAAGTCTGCTTCCCCTATACCTGCCCTTACCCTTGGTTTTCCAGTTCTAAGTGAAACTCCTAGCTGAACACACCTGTAATCTCTAATTTTATTCTTCCATTTTATTTACTTATTTATTTAATTTTTGGTTTTCCTTTTTCCATTTCTTTCTCCACATTCCTTTATGTCTATTATTCCATATTATATCCTTTTTCCTTTTCTTTCCATCTCTCCTGTAGATCTGTAGAAGTATATTCACATTTGCATTTATTATATATTACAAGACAACAATTGTTAGCATCTATTTACTTCAGTTTAGGATCTTGTTACTTAGCTTACTTTGTTCTTATTTTAATGTACTTACTGTTTATAATTTTAATAAGCTTATTCGCATTGTTTATAAATTTTGTCTAAATTTAATGTAACTGTCATATTTCTCTATCTGTTTGTATCTTGTCCGTTCTAGCCCTGAAGAAGACCTGCAAAGTCAGGTCGAAACGTCGGCTTTCAATAAAATAGTTGACCACTATTTAGCCTATTTATGACCGCCTCCCCGGACCATCTCCTTTCTTTATATTACTTACAATTATAAAATCGTTACTGTTTGTAGTAATTAACAGTATATGAGCTTATTGAGGAGTTAATAGTTGAATTTAATCTTAATTCAAACTTAATTTACATCTGGATTTAATTTTCTAAATCGAATTCGAAAGATGAAAAAATGTAATACCGTTTCTCGTATTGTCTCAGGTTAGTTAATGGATCAGTATGATTAGTTGGTGAATAAGATTTTTTAATGGATCCGTTCAAGTCAGTTAATGGATCATGAGCTAATTCTAACAAGAGTCCTGTTAATGGTGAATCGGATAGGCAAAAGTATGAATAGTCAAGAAAACTCTTTAACTACATCAACTAGTTTTAAAAATAAACAATATCGTATTTCAAACCTTGACTTTATACAATAGGGTA